CAGGTGGGTCTTGAATATCTCCAGAGAAGGAGACTTCACAACCTACCTGGGCAGCCTGTTCCAGTGCTCCGTCACCCTCAGAGGGAAGAAGTTCTTCCTCATGTTCAGACGGAACTTCCTGTGCTTCAGTTTGTGCCCACTGCCCCTTGTCCTGTCACTGGGCACCACTGAAAAGAGTCTGGCCCCATCCTCCTGACACCCACCCTTAAGATATTTATAAGCATTTATAAGGTCCCCTCTCAGCCTTCTCTTCTCCAGGCTGAACAAGCCCAGCTCCCTCAGCCTCTCCTCATAGGAGAGATGCTCCAGTCCCCTCGTCATCCTCGTAGCCCGCCGCTGGACTCTCTCCAGCAGCTCCTCATCTTTCTTGAAGTGGGGAGCCCAGAACTGGACAGGTAAACATTAAACTGCTCACTTGTCCTAACCTTGTATGTCTCCCAGTTCCTGAAAAAGTTGACGGACCCATCCAGCCGTCTCTGAATGACTGTCCAGCCACCAGGGTCATGCCGTTGATCACACCAGACTTGCATAAGCCGGTTTGTGTTTTCTGGTTTTACAAGATAGATGGAGCTTGTATCATGGCCGTCTTCTAATGCTTGTAGACAGTCTCTCCAGGGCCCTGTGTCAAAACAGAAGGACTCTGCATCAAAATGCAATTGAGCATGTCTTTAATGCAGGGCGATATTTGAATTGGTAGCTTTTTACAGTAGATTTGCTTCTGCTGAGTAGTGCATTTGTATTTTCCTCTTACCGAAAGTACAGTGTCCACTAAGTGTTTTCAAACATTCATTTGTTGTAAATTTATTTCTGGAACATTTCACAATGAATTACACATAAAGGTAGATCTTATTTATTTATTTTAAGGCAACTGCACTTAAATATTGATTATATCGTCAGAGAAACTAAATATGAATTAATCCATGTATAAGTATTAATATTAATAATTTCTTTTAGAAAACAAAATTGCAAGTTTGACTTTATTTCTGTCTTTGAGAAATTCAGCTTTTTAGATCTCGAAAACATCATTGGCACGGACATTAGTAATGGAACCAGCAACATAAATTGAGAATGTAGGTGTTACTGTTGTCACCTTAATAAGTGATAACACAAAATAGAAATTAAAATTTATAACATGGAGTGCCCACTTACATAGTGAGAGAAGTTGTAGATAAATGAGAAGACTTGTAAAATACTTTGCATTCACAGAAATTACTGGTAATGCTCTCCTATTTTCAGAAGGAGAATGCATTTTTTTTTTTCCTTGAGCTTAGTAGAGTCCATAAAGAGCTTACTCTTTTTGAAAGTGTCTTACATTCGTGATTTTTAAAGAAATTTTCTCCAATGGGAAGATAGTTAGATTCTATTTTAATGAGTTTGAGAAATTTAAATATAAATAATTTAGGAGCCTGTGTTGATGCCTGCAGGTAGACTCCTGCAGCTGCTTTGCCGCTATCCTCAAGTTGCCTAAGCAGAAGAGTGAAGTCAACAAGAATCCTCAGGATTAGAGACCTTTGATTGATGATGATTCCCCCCCGCCTTCCCTGAAGGAGGAAGGCTTGTCAGATCTTCCCATGAGGAGTCTTACTGAAGCATATGTTGCTATCAAGAGTAATTTGTCTTTTAAATTATTTCAGTTCATCTATCCTTTTTCATAATTCACTGTTCAACACTGGTAATTGTAGAGCTACCCTTAGTAAATGAGTTAGTAATAAATTAGTTTTGTAGAAGCAACATCAGCATTTCGGGGGGTTTGTGCTTTTTGGGTCTTTTTAACTAGTTGATCAAAAATCTGTGTACCAGGAGGCAATCCAGTTTTTTGGTCTGTGGCCACGCTGTGTTGTTCTGGTTTCCTTAGTCATATTCACAGACTGTGACAAGAGTGCTGCTTCTAAGGTGCTTCTCCATTTCTGTCGTGGCTAACTGTTCAGATTTCTGGCAATTTAGGTGTAGATGCAGTATTCTGTGACACAGTTGCATGGCTTATGAGAGGTGGAAGACGACAAATGTAATGAATGCTGGTAATTTAAATTGCTCTTGTTTATTTGATCACAATGTGTATGTAGTGACACTAAAACAAAAAAGAACATGTCAGTTCAAAGTCATCATTGAAGAAACTCCTGAAATAGTCAACTACAGATCTTTGATCTTGTCTTCATAAAAATAAACACATAGCAGTATATGATGTAGTGTTTACATCTTCCTAATCTTGCAGTTTCTTTCTAGGCCGCGTGGCAACAGTGTTCTACTGCACGTGATTCTTTTCTCTGAAAGTGCTTTAAGGTGACAATAAACTATTGTAAATACTTCAAACCAGTGTTTGCTACTACTTTTCCATGACGGGTAGTTTTCTGTCAGATACTAACTTTCCAAAATTTTGACTAAAGTGTGTAGTCTGAGATTTGTCATCTCACCTTGGAAATGAAAGGGAATGTAGTGAAGACAACTGGCCCCAGCACAGGTCTCAATAAGACACCGTGGTTAACGGCCTAAGGAAAAAATAGTTAAGGGATTTTTGTGCTTTTATTTATATGAGGCTCTTTCTTTGTACTTGGTGGTAGCTTAATTTAAACACCTTTAGTAAGAAGCCTGTTCAGTGCTTTCTGGAAATACATATGGACTGTGTATCAACCAGAACTCTTGTCTGCCCAGGCACTGATGCCTTCAAATGTCTCTAAATGTGATAAAAAATTGGTATTACAAAACCCAAGTTGATTCTTATTCAAGGTGTTTGGATGAGAATACATGATTTAGATTTGTTTACTGCTTATTCTAGTGTTCTTGGCATATTTCTATCGATTAGTGCATTATTTTTTTCTCCCCAATGTCACATTTGCCAGCTTTTGTTCCTCACATGAGGCAGTTTTTGGTGAGAGATTACACAGGAGTTAATTGTTTCACATTGTTTCCTTTAGAACTCTGGAGGAGTGTGCATTACTCTCTGCAGTTTGTTAGTATTCACTTCTTTCATTGGCTTTATAACCTCTTCTACCAACGTTTCAGTTTGAGATAAATCCTGCAGAGTCTCCTCGTTGCCACTAACCTGTTCAACACAGGAACCTCAGAGTGTCCCCTCAGTGAATACTCATATCAAAATTAATTTAGACTTTCTACTGTTGCCTTAATTTCTCCAAGTATGTCTTTTTTAGCTTTCTCTATGAACTTGTAGTGAGGCTTCCTGTTCCTGATGTGTTAGAAGTCAGATTTATTATGCCTTTTTTTCCTTTTGCAAGTCATTCTTCACAGAATCACAGAATGGTAGGGGTTGGAAGGGACCTCTGTGGGTCATCTAGTCCAACCCTGCTGCCGAAGCATTCTTAAGACACTCTGTCTTTAACCTGATGGAGAGTATGTTATTTTCTTATTTCCACATTTGGACATCACTTTAGTGCTTTGGATGATGTCATCTTTCTTACAATGCTGCTTTTTTACCAAGCTGCTTAACCATGACAAGATTTCCTGGTCCTCTTAAAGTCTTCTTTTTGGATGGATGGATAGTTCTGAATTTCCAGTAGGGTATCTTTAAATAGTCTCTATGGTACTTGAAAACATTATACCTTTTCACTTAACACTTTTAGTTTATGCATTGGTGTTGTAATATTCCACTATTTTGTGTCATTTGTGTCTCTAGGTTTCTGATAGGCTGTTAAATCTTATTAAAACCACAACTTTCTAGAGTATTAGTTTAGAAGCATATATATGTTTGGGTTGGCCTTGCATATATATATATATGCCTAATATTTTTGTGTCCTGTTTAAACAATCTGTTTTGCAGATTATATTTCAGCATTTCTTACTTTAATTTTGTCCACTACTCCTATCCAAAGATTTTACTTGAGGGTACAAAATCTGCATTGCTTCACTCAGAGGATGTATCAGTTTAAACCACCTGCTTCATTAAGCCATAATTATCAGTATGAATATATATTGTCTGTCTTATGTTATTATGTATGTTTATTTTTGTATACTACTAATGCTTTTTTGAAGAAGTTTGTGACTACATAAAATTAGCATACGCTGTATGTTAATGTTGCATTAACCTTTGCATTACTGTTTGCTGTTTATTATTCAAATATTTAACTTTATTTTTTATAATGCCGTACAGGGTTAAAATGTTTACCTGCAGGTTTTATCTGGTAGAGTATAATAAACTGATTTGTGTGCATGTTTTTCTAGGAATAATGTCTCCTATAGCAATTGCACAAGAAAACATACATTTCATAATTGGTATAACTGGCTACTAAATGTTTTGTTCCCAGAAAAAGATTTGTTGATTTCTTGGGTAAGGATGATGAATCAAATTCATTCAATTTTTTTCAGCTTTCATTTGTCTTTAGTGTAGTCATCTTCCAGTGTTACACTAGCAAATTTATATAAAGCAGAGTATTTTGATAAGCAATTCATGTAAGTCTGTTTTATACAGAAGATGTAGCAGTGATTCACGTAATAGTAAACACTATTGTGTTGTTGTGTGTAGAATTCTACACTCTAATAAATTGTTGTTTCATATCTACTTCAATTATGTTGTTTCATATCTACTTGAATTATTGACCCTGTAGGCTAAACTTTTTGATGTTATAAACTAAACCCCATCTGCTTTTTTCTTTGGCATATTAAAGCTTATGGTTGTAAGGAAAATTGTTGGGGTTTGGCCCTACATCCCACCCCAAACCTCTGGGTAATAACTCCAAGAAAGGAGTTGTTGTTAGTGTCACAGCTAAAGCATTTAATCCTGAAGTCTTTTATTAGACTTTTAGCTCTTTCAAGCCAAGCCTGAGGAGCAATGTTCCTAAATAGGACCAGAGAAATTTTAGTTGGAATTCATATTTTCCTTAGTAGAATGGAGTAAAATACAATTGTAGTTATTTTGAACAATCTCTGGTGTTGACGTTAGGTGACTTACTGGCTATTTACTGATTTTTATTGGTTTTTTTTTTAATTTCTGTAGAATTTCAGTGTTGTATATATGTTCAGTATTTTGCAGACAGAATTAAATTTACCCAACTTACTCTTTTGGGCATGAGTGGGAAACAAGAATGCATAAATAAGAATTTGAAGTAATGGATTTAAGGATAAAAATGCAAATTCTTCTACTTGGAATCAAAACCAGGAATTTTTACATTTTCCTGTATTTTTGCAAAGAACCAGCAACAGGAACATTGCAGCGGTTTTTATGCCTCATAAAATAAGACTTTCTGGGAAATGCATGATCAAAGCATGATGCTAGTCCTTGCAGAGAAATTAACTTGTCTATTATAAAGTGTGCATCTCTAAAATTACTTTATATCCAGTGATGATGCCCACATTTTAAAATGCATTCTTTCAGTTTATTTTCTGTAGAACACTTTACTATGAGACTAGGGTTCTTTAATTTATCTACATCATGCTTTTATGATTTACTGCCAATGTTGTTATGCAGTCATCAGCTTTTACCATCTTAGAGCTAATAGACTATGATGTCTCTGTTGAAATATCCAACACTTCAAGTATTCTTAATAAATTTTTGACAAGACACTATGCTTCTATGCCTTGCCTCTCAAATCTGACACATAATTTTTTGTTATTTGGTTAGTCATTTTGGCTTGCCTTTGTGAATATGGAGAACTACACAGTAAATCTGTAATAGCAGGTAGGGTAAGACATTTCAAACATGACAATTCTAAATGAGAATCTTCTTTTAGATCATAGGCATAATAATGTTTTGTTCTGAAGTACCTTCCTCTGAGTGTAGGCGTAGGGATCTAATATTCTAGTACTGTATAAAGTCATTACAGAAGGGGTTGCTGCTCTGAAGATTTTAAATTACAAGTAACTTATGAAGTACGTTGTTTAAGAAATTTTCATGTAGAAAAAAGATGAGCACTTTATGGTAAGTGATGTGTACAGATCTCTCTGTAAGTTTGTTAAATTAATTTCTGTGGCAATTCTTATTCTTTCCAATTCAGATTCCTGGTTTTTCACCGAGGTAAATGCAGCTGTGCCAGTCATATGATTGGTTGGCCAGCAATAACAGATATTGCCCTTTTTTTGCAAAAAAAAATTGGGCAGGAATTGTGTAAACTTCCTCTATAGTTTATGTGCTACTGTTAGGAGAAAAGGACAGTTCTTTTACTAGATCTGTCTGGTAATTAGTGTTTTCATAATAATAAAATGTAAATCTTCCTTCTGAAGTATTAGCGTGCTCTACAAACAAGGGTTGTCTTATCTTCCCTTGAAAAAATGAGAGCATCCTGCCTGACAGGTAGTTTTAATAAAATCACCTTTAGGGAGTCAGGCAGACCTTTGAGGAGTAGTACTTTTGTAATGTGACCAGTGCCTGTTCACTGGCACAAAGACACTTAATTACAAAAATACTTTTGTAGTACTGGATGTATAGGATGGAGACACAGCTGTATAGTGAAGAGACCATGCATTTATGTTACATGAAGACCAGAATTGGTTTTGATAACTGATCGTGTGATATGTATTGTATTACTTTGGACTTGCATACATCTGTGCCAAGTTGAAGAATGTGAAATAAGGTTTTAAAATTGTGCAAGTAATTTTGCTAACCCAAACCACATGATTACTTTTCCCAACCCTGTCTTTTTGTCTTGCATCTCCTTAATTTCTGTCTTCCACAGTCATTAATTTGGTGTGGATTCTTAAAATTTCCCTGATCATATTTTATTTCTTGACCTTAACTTGAACAGTTAAGTTGTACTAAACAAAATAGTCCTTCCATTTTTTTAAAATCTGTAATTAATAAAAAAAAAAAAAAGAGGAGGGGGCTAGGATTACCACAGAATGGTTTGGGCTGGAAGGGACCCTTAGAGGCCATTCAGTCCAAACCCCTGCAGTGAGCAGGGACATCTTCAACTGGATGAGGTCACTCAGAGCCCTGTCCAACCTGGCCTTGGACCTTTCCAGGGATCAGGCATCCACCACCTTTCTGGGCAACCTGTGCCAGTGATTCACCAGCCTCAGTGTAAAGCATTTATTCCTTATATCTAAATCTCCCCTCTTTTAGTTGAAAACCATTACCCCTTGTGCTGTCACTACAGGCCCTGCTAAAAACCCTGTCACCGTCTTTCCTATAGGCCTTCTTTAAGTGCTGAAACGCTGCTCTACGGTCTCCCTGGAGTCTTCTCTTCTCCAGGCTGAACAGCCCCAGCTCTCACAGCCCTCAGATCATTGCTGTGGCCTCCTCTGGCCCCTCTCCAACAGGTCCATGTAATTGCTCTATGAATATAGACCTAATTCTGCTTTGCACTGATATTTTCACACCGCATAATGTTCTACAGAAATAAGATGACATATTTCAAGGTCTTAAATATATCTCTTACGGATTTGGTGAGACTCAGTAATCATAGACAGTGCTTCATGGGGAACTGGAAGCTTGGATCCATGCAGCTTTTAATTTAAAATCATTAATACAAATGAAAGGGAAATAGGAGATTTGTTTTAAAAAAGTGAAGTAACTTAAATCTCACTTTCTACGCAGTTTATGTGCATAATTAACTTAAATGTTGTTTGATTTTGACACTTGTTGCCTACCTCTTCCAGTGAGTTATCAACTTCCAACTATGTATCTGTTGGGACAATACAGCAGATAAAAAATATATAGCAAGTTTTTGGAATTTGTGAGGGATAGGTTTTCCATAAATAGCTGAGAGAAATCAAAGAACCATAGGATGTGTTACATGTGTTACTACTACAACGTAGTAATTAGGGAAGAACTGCTTGAAAATGTGAAATGGAAAGCAGTGTATGTGATCTTGATTGTGAAATAATGGAGGTCACAATTCTTAGGAAAGTGAAAAGCAAAGCAAAGAAAATGAACTTAAATACAACAGACTTCAGCAAATTCGGAGAGCATGCAGAGAAAATGCTTTAGACAATTAGTTCAAATGAAGAGTTTACAAGTTTCTTAAGGAGTCTCTGGGGACAGTGCAATGGATTTTGCTATTGTAGAAGACAGCTAGGGAAAATTAAATAAACTGACCTGGCTGAATCATGATCTTTCCAGTAGCTTTAAAAACATGAAGAAAGCTCAAAGTAGATGCCATCTCAAAGTACTAAGCATAGCTGGTTGTTTGTGGGTGTGGTTTGGTTGTATTTTGGTGGTTGTTTTGTTCACCACCACCCCCCCACCTCCCCACCCCCAAACAACAACAGCGTGGACAAAATGTACAAAATGAAATCAAGCTACTGAGAGTAGCAAGACTGTAGCAAGTCTACGACCAAGGGAAAATACCAGTCTGCTACTTTGTGAGGGAAGAGCTGTCAACAGGTTAAACTGAGAAGGCATTTAATATTTTTCTTCCATTTTGCTTCAGTTTTTGTTGCACAGGTTGGCTATGATCAGATGGTTAGTACACCCAGGAGCTTTGACAGAGGTTGAGAACTCAAAAGACAGTACACAAAGGATTGGATAAAATATAGGTAGATTTTTTTTTCGATGGCTGGGCAGTTGGGGTGGTGATGGGTTTTGTTTGTTTTGTGGGATGTTGGTTGTGAGTATCCGGGGGTGGTGGTGGTGGTGTGTTTTTGTGGGGTTTTCCTAGTTCGTTCCCGACACCTGGCTGAAGCATCATTTACAGCATTAATTGTGGGGAGAAGTTTTTTTTTTGAGATGTGCTTTGTGAGTGGAGAACATTCTGGAGGATGAGGAAAATGTATTAAATGTTCCTTGCCCAAAAAGAAAGGTGGCAAGAGGGGAGGAGAAAATGTAAGGTTAGATAGGTTAACTTCCATTTTTTTAAATTTGCTTGAACAAATCAAACTGCTGCAAATGAGAAAGTAAGGAGACAAATGAGTATTATAATGGATTTGTGCAGAAGAAATGTGAAACTTCTTTTTTTCTGGGAAGTTATGTAGATAAGGGAGAAATAGCAGATGTCAAATCTTATCTTAGAATCATGGACTTTGGAAGGCACATCTGGAGATCAACGTGAAAAATAGCTGGATAAGCAGCACTTCCACAGGTGAGGATCTAGGGGTTCTGTAGGGTTGCAAGTTGGTCATGAGTCAATGTTTTACTTTGCAAAAAAGGAAAATGCTATATGAGGATAAATCAACAAAAGTACTATGCACATGAAGTAGCTTTTCTATTCCGCTGTGTGATGGTGAAGCCTCAGCTCAAGTTTGGGTACTTAAAAGCACAAGGAGGATGTGGACTAATTAAAGAGTTTTAGGATGAGTGTAAAAGGAAGGGGAAAGGTCTTAAAAGAATGCTTGAAAGATATTTCAGTTACAGAAAGATAGGAAAATACTAAGCTTGAACCTACTTTGAGATCAAATTCAAAATGTAATTATCAAAGACGCCATCCTGTAGTGTATTGCTCCAAAGAAATTGTAACAGACCTGATTTTCTCCTGATTTTTTTTTTTAACATAGAACCTTAGAATCATGAAATTTTTGGCTGAGGTTCTGCATGCCACAGTGCCAGCTTTGGTGAATTCATCTTTGGCAATATTGTGAAATAACTGCTTTGTAGCAAAGTGTGTTAGACAGTGCTTTAGACTGAAACAGCTGCTGAAGTTTCTTTCATTGTGGATATTTCCATGGAGAAATAAGTCTTTTTTCTTTTTTTTCCTACATGTGGCAGTTGCATTGTTTGATAATTCTAAAGAGTTTGACGATGCAGTTCACATGTCTTGCTCTGTTTACAGTCTTAGTTTCAGATGTCTGTGGGTCCCCTGTCTTTTTTCTGAGGCAAGTACATGTTGCTCACACACTGAAGAACAGATTTGTCTTGTATGGGATACATAATACTTAAACTGTTTTTTTGAGATATGTGGGACCATAGCTGAAACTGGATTCTTTACCTGTTATTTCTTTATCATGTAGATCAATTAATCTCTAACGTGATTTCAGATGCCTCTAATCTTGCTTATAGCAGAACTCCTAAGACTTAATGAGGGCTGTATGATATCCCTTATTATTCCACCACTTGCTTCCCTTTGCTCCTGTCTTAGAGCACAAGTGCCCTATGTGAGGTACAGAGTAGATACATATTCCTTTTTGAGTTACACAAGCACAAAAATTATCACATGCTAGATAACAGACTTGTAATAACTTCATAAATGTTGACACAAAAAGTGTCAAACCCCTGCAGATGTCTTGAATTATAGCAGTTCGGTCTTGAGCCAGGTAAATAAAATTTACCAGCTCCTTTATCTTAAACATCTGATATAAATGGTGGGTTTGTCTTGGCAAAGTAACATGAGAAAAATCTGTGGGGTTAGTGTGTCTGAATCTGTTAGACATTCAGAATTTACTTTGTTGCTTTCTTTCTGTGCTTTTACTACAACGTGTATTAAAAATACACAAGATAGATAGACAACATCAGATCTAAGAAATCTCAATTAGTTCAAAATAACTCATCTGCATTTATTTTCCTAAATAAAAAATTCTGTCTGCATTTTTGATATTACAATTAAAATGTTGCACAATGCATATTAGCATAAATTATTGTAGACATATTAATAATATTACTTACCAGATGGTTTATCTGTTGAAGTCGGAATACTAGTAACTGCAGGCATGGTTGGTAAGGTAGGTGGCAGAACCTTTAAGTTCTGGTCACTCTGAATCTCATTAGTAGATATCTGGTTAATAATGCGATTGTAAGTAGGAGGCTGGTATGCTTTATTTGGTGGCTGTGGAGTCTGTGGCATTGGCTTTATGGATGGCATTCTTTGACAGTGTTCTTCCAGTTGGGCAATTATAATTGACTGATTGTTGGCAATATACATCAAATGCTGGTACTTGTGCTCTAAGTCTTTGTATTTGTTTGCAAGCTGCAACATATCTGCAGTTTGATTTAAAATCTTATTCTCAAGTTGAGAAAGTTCTAATGCGTTGTCACGTTTTCGGATAATTTCATGTAGTAACTGCATATAGAGTTGTGTGACGCGAGAATTCATATTTCTGCTCTCTTTTCTTAAGAGTTTAACCTCATTAACAATACCACCATCCACCTCTACCAGTTGCTGGAGAGTTTCTATTTGTCTCTTTTGTTTGAGAAGTTCATTGTTAAGTAACTGTAATTCTTGTTTATTTACTCTGTTTTCAAGTAGAACTTCAGGCTCCTTAGAATTAACACAAATGGCACCTGTCACTCTCTGTTGAGGTACAATAAAGGTGTAAGTGCATTTGTCCTGTGTGTCACTGGAACGCTTATATCTGTTCATATAAATGAATTCTTGTTCTGTTTCATCGTCATTGCCTTCAAATTCCTGTGTTTTGCTTGCTGTAGCTCCCACAACAGCTACTAGTATTAAACAGATGAATCTTGTTGTCATCGTGATACTCTAGTTCTGGTCAAATATTCTTCTGCAAAGAACTTTTAAATATCTGTTTTAAAATAAATTTAACAATAAGTAACAAATATGAAATCAATGCAAACTTACAACTGATAATCTGTTCTAAAACTTACAAAGTATTACATAGCAACTAGTATGTCTGTGTACAAATGAGATACTTTACTTGTCCAGCATGAACTTATGCTGGCTAAAGGGGACATGATGGGGAATAGTTGTATCATTTTGTGGCCAGAACTGTAGTTGCTAGCATATAGTTTATCTAAAGCCTGCCAAGAACCACAAGAAATTGAGTAATAAATACCAGGATTTGAAGAGTTCTTTTTTCCAGGCAAGTACCACAAAAGTTTCCAAGATTGGTGTTTTCATTTAAATATGAATTACATTTTAATTTCTTACAGTTACAAATATAACTTTTAAATGTAAACAGAATGTAAATTAATATGTGATGTTAAAAGTTCTAAAAATATCAAATAGCTCATTTGCAGTATTTTATCGCTGCATGTATATTGCTGGAGATACAGCTTAGATGAAATGTAACAGTTTTACTTCAGTCAGCAGTATCAAACTTCATAGTTTAAAAAAAAAAAGAGGGAAGAACTTCCTTTACATTAGTCCTTAATGATTATAAATGAACTCTACTGCCCAGATATTATAGGCAGTAAAATCTATTGGTTTTCTGCACTAGTAAAATTTACGACTGAAGTATTTATTGTGACTGTCATTGGAGACATTGTCTTTATACTCAGCCTGGTGATTTCACTTCATAGTCCCTTCTTGGAAGGGGAAAAACACATTCCTGTGTGCATGGTGGACAAAAATGACCCCCAGCTATTCAAATTAGCTGCTAGTGTGATGTACTGCAACAGTACCCATTTGGTGAAATTACACAAAGTTAGTTCTCGGAGCAGATTCATTGGAAACGTTCAGTGGAAATCTGAGCCCATCACAATCTCTTAAGAAATAAGACAATACCAGATTTTTACAGGCAAGAGTCATCTCAGAAACACGAGCTTAGCATTGTCACTACTGCCAGGAATGCCCTTGTCACAAATCACTCTCTTATCAGGTTCTTGAACAGCACTTTGATATTGTGTATTCCTAGGAGCTTTTTGGTTTTGAATTTTAATAGGCGTGTATATATAACCTAGTTTTTAAAAGTAAATAAAATCAGAGGGAAAAATGCAGTATTGAGCTTTTTCAGTGCATAAAGCCCGCTTGATACTTCTTAAAATCAAGGTGATGTTACCATCATGTGTTTCTTTGCTTGTAAAACGTTTCACATGGAATAACCATTCAGTATTTAAATAACTGTCACCTTACTGCTTGGTCATCCTTAGTAGAATTGAAATTTTTTAAATGACATGAAATGATAATAGTAACAGCTGTGAGAAACTGTAATGAGTCCAGCTGAGTGCAGCCAATATAGATAGCTAGAGGCTGGCAGACTTGATGTATGAGGAACAGCAGAAAGAGCTAGGTTTGTTTAGCCTCCAAAAGAGAAGGCGAAGGAGACATCTTACTGCTGTCTTCAACGATTTAATGGGTGTATGTAGAGAAGATAGATTCTTTTTGAAAGTGCACAGTGAAAGTGTAATGGTCAATGGATACAAATTGCCTCAGGAAAAACTCATTTTGGGTTTTAGAAAAAAAAGAATTGCACAGTGAGGGTGACCAAGGACTGAAGCAGTCACCCAAAGAGGTAGTGGAATCTCCACTCCAGAAAATACTTACATAAAGTTTTGATTTAGGCAAGGCTCTGAGCAGCCTGATCTAATGTTGAAATTAGCCTTGCTTTGTAAAACGAAGGTGAGGTCCCTGAATTGTTCTATGATTCTAGGCAGCTGCTGACTTTTAAGAAAATTTTTTTAGAGTTTCAAAATAATGATGGATATGCATGCTTAAACAATTATTCATACTGAGCAGAGATGGTTGTCAGTTATTCACATTTTTCTGTTGTTTTGAAATAAACCATACAAGTTTCTGTAAATGCTTCTGTAAATGATTCAGATAAAAGTGACCTGGACTTGATCCTTCTTAAAGTTTTTGGATATACATTTTTTGCCTCAGTTTCTTATTTGGAATAAAGTCATTTTTATTCTGCAAATGGAAAGGAATTGTGCTTTACAGAACTTGTCAAGAATCTTGAAAACTTGTCAGATAAAGGTTTGGAGTTTGACATGGTTTCTGTAAGGAATGTTATTTGGAGCCCTGGAAAACAGGGAACATAAATTCACCCCAGACAGCTTTAACTTGCATAATCAGCATTTGCACAGCAAGTCACACTTGGAAACCCTGGCAGTTTTTCAGGCCTCATATTTCTGCACTGATGGACTGTTTCTGCAAATGTCTCTCGCTATAGGTGCAAAATGGGTTTCATTTCACTGTTTGAATTGAAATATCTTTTTTTCCCCCTCAACAACTCTTAATTATTGTGACCACTGGAAAGATACTCATTTTTTTCCTCAGAGTTCACTTGTGTCTCTGTTACAGCATCTCGTTACAGCACAGGATTTGGGGTGCACATTCTTTTCCAGACTGATGAAATACAGAGCAACATGTAACAGTTTGATTTTTCTCCAATCTTTTTTAAGAACTGTTTAAGGAATAGAGTTCATCAGCCTCGTCTTAACATACCAGTTCAGACTCTTTCAAAATAGAATAGACTATTTCTGTTGGAAGGGACGTACAACAATCATCTAGTCCAACTGCCTGACCACTTCAGGGCTGACCAAGTTAAAGCATGGTATTAAGGGCATTGTCCAAATGCCTCTTAAACCCTGACAGGCTTGGGGCATTGACCACCTCTCTAGGAAGCCTATTCCGGTGTTTGACCAGTGTTTGTGGAAGGTAAGATATCAGTGAATGACATCTGCATGATTAGACCATGCTGAAATGCTTCTCTCTCATGATCTTGCTTGCATATCACCTTTTCTAAGGTGTTCTTCCTATAAGAAAAAAACATTGGAAGGAAAAGTACAGTGATAAGATGCTCCTGTACAAATAGAAACAAGAACCATACTGTCTTCAGATGTCCTTCTTCCTGTAGAGTCTGTTTATGAAGTGATCTCATAAGTCTTTTATTGTCTGTACTTGTTCAATTAAAAAAAAAATATTCAGAATGAGGACGATTTGTTGCATATTGGGATGGACTACATAACATAAATAGCATTTCTTCTCTTCTGCAGTTGGATTCAAATGAAGTTCATAACCAACATGCTTGTTTGAACAACTCCCAATGATTAATCCTTCAGGGAGAAAAAATCTTGCTGGAGGAAGCAAAGAGGAAAGCCAGAGAAACAATTTTAAGGAAGGATTTAATGCTTTTTAGTATCTTCCTCTTCTTTTTGAGTAGGAGAACATCAGATTCTTGGGACATCAGAATTCCTTCCCACAGAAGAGGAAGATCTTATTTATTTGATGTCTAGCACACTAGCTGTCAGTTTTCTTCTGTTGCACTTTTTCCAAGTAATTGCTCATACTCTTTGAACTTAACTAGTGCTGTTGCTTGCTGATCACTCAGTTCTTCCTGTTTCTCTGGCTCAGCCACCCTCTTCCTCTCTCCCAGTATCTCTTCTGCAGTGGACTGGGAGGGAGCTATATTACTGGGGCCATATTTGTCCCCACTACAAAATTCCACTTCGGTAGCTGTACACTTCAACCTCGCCATCGCATAAAACTACATTATATAAAAGCATGCTTGCAGGTTTGGTGCAAATTTTCTTAATTACTGGAAATAGAGCATGTCTGTCTTTTATCCTCATGCACGTTGACAAAACTTCACCAAACAGTATACAAATAATAAATGGGAGAAGTGAAAGAAGCATATTTAAAAAGAAAGATATGTGTTTTAATTAAAAATCAAATAGAACTTATAATAAGAAAAAGTATGAAAGTTTAAAGTAACTCCACTTCTAGATTCTGGCTGTTCAAGACTTGTGTACTCACAAAAGCATTTTTCATGGGATTTGAGTTGGGACAGACTGGCCTGCTGCAGATGCACCTAAAGCCAATTTTGTTTGTTTACCCTGCTTGGCATTACATATTACTTTATTCAGGCTAAATAATGTTTTTTTTCTGTTTGTCTTTTGCCCGTATAATTGCCTCTATGAAAACTTGTGGCAGCATTGTTGTGTGAGTTATAATCATAGTATTTTTCACACTCCTTGCCAGCATAAGCGCTTTGGTTAAAATTTCAGTTTGTAGACCAAATGTTGGCCTATCTATGTATATAACTGGAAGTAGGTAATAAATAATAAGTTGGTTTGTTTTCTCAGTCGTTGTTTGTCCAACTGAGGATGTTCCCATGATCTGGTGAAACAAGAGGAAATAAACTATGAGATATTTCAGCATTTGATTGTTTTTTCATGTCCCTTAAAGGGAAAAAGTAAATAAAATCTTTCTTTGTCTTTGCTTTGAAATATTTCTCTGTCCTGTACTCTGTCATGCTTATGTTGGACTTTTAGTTAGTCAAAATACATTACCTTTTGATTGTTACGAGTATCTTGAAATTTATACATGATATTTCAACAAGATTTGAGCATTTTACTATCTAAAATTTTACAGGTGTTTCACATCCTATAGTTTAATCAGTCGTGATCCTGAAATGATAAAGGTAAAATACTTCTATGTGCAAAGTATTACTGTTTGGCAAATGTTCACTTTTTTTCCTTAATCAGCTTACCTTAAGAGTAAGCAGTACAGGTAGCAATGGCAGCACTATATGGCCTTCTTATTTTTTTAAGCTCCATATAACAAAATACACACTTCATCATGGATATTCCAATATGTGTACCTTTTTTCCTTATTTGTTTGTTCTGATGCCATGCTTCAGAGGATCTCATTTTTACAAAATAGACTGGCTAACTGTCTGTTTCAGGTTTTATGAAATATATTACCTGTCTTTGGGATTTTTGTGTACAAAAGAGAATGAAGGTATGTTTCCATCAGATGAAAAATATGACTTGTAATGACATAATAAAGTATCATTAAGCTTATTTGAAAATGCTACCAGTAGTCTTTCAATGCTATG